ATCCGTCTCCTGGGGGTGCTTGTTAAAAATGAACTAGGAACAGGGGCCCCTGGGGGGCTCAGCGGTTGGGTGCATGCCTATGGCCCAGGGCGTGACCCCGGGGCCTGGAATCGAGTCCCACATGGGGCTCCCTGCATGGAGCCTGCTTCTCCCTCGGCCTGTGTCTCTCCTCCCTCTGGGTCTCTCATGGATAAATTTTAAAAAGAGAAAAAAGAACTGGGACGCACCTTACGTTTCCTGCGTCAGTATCTTTGGAGATGGTGCTTTGAAAGCTGCATCTTAACAAATACCTGATGGCTCTGATGCAACACAGAGTTCGAGACCCAGGTTTCCCCAAGATCTAGAGATGCAGGCCTGCAGGCGGGGAGGGCGCGCAGAGCCGTGGGGCTGCCAGGCCGGGAGCCCCGCGCAGAGACAGCTGCTCTCCCTGCGAGCAAAGTATCTTCTCCCCGGAAACACGGGGCATGGCGCAGACACCCCGACGTGGCCGGGGAACCAAGGACGCCCCCTACCCCCCACCCCCGGGTCCACGTGTGCTGTGGTTCCCGCAGCTCCTCCGAGGCCCGGGCCCCCACCTGGCGAGCACCCAGCCCACCCGCCCCCGGGCCTGGGCGCCCACCCCCCCCCCGTGGGGCCATGCTCTGCGTGGGGGCGGGACTAAAGCTCCAGGGTCTGGGGGACCCCCCCTTCTCCCTCAGTAGGTGCCGCGGGGCGTGGCGTGACCACGTGGAGAGCAGGCGTCCCAGCAGCACATGAGGTCACCCCCACTGCCCGTCTCCTCTGAAGGCCGCGGGCCGTCACCCCTCACCCCGTGCCCCAGCACTCGGCGCACCTGTTACCTCAGGGCCACAGAGGACACAACCCCCGCCACGTGGAGCCCCCGCCAGGCCCAACTCAGGACGCGTGCGACAGATGGAAGGTCCGCGAGCTCAGCTCGGAGAGGAAGAAGTGGCCCTGGGGGACGGACGGTGCCTGAGGCCAGGGGAGGGGGGCTGCCGCGGACTGAGGGGCTGCAGTAGGGCTGACCAGGAGCCTAGACCTTGCCGGCCGGGCCCACCATAGGGCCTTTCGGCTGCAGGACGAACAGAAGTCGGCGCCGGTCCCAAGCCGGGAGACCCACCTGCGCCCCCAAGTGCTCTAGCGTGGACGCTGAGGCCCCAGCCTGGGGGTGCTGCTGGGCTGGCCCGGGCCCCCACCTCGAGCCTAGGGAGGTCCCTGGGGATCCGAGGCCACGCCCAGGAGCCAGGGCTGTGCACGCAGGCTGCCCCAGGCCCGGCCGAGCCGATGGTCCGGGGCCGGTGGGAGAGGAGGACACGCCCGTGGCCCCGTCGCACGGACCTGGTCCCGCAGCGGCGGCCAGAGCAGAGCAGTGCCCACTAGTCCTCCCCTGGGACCCCCGGCACCTGAGAGCTGCTGCGCGCGGGGTGGGGGGCAGGGGGCACCGCGTGCCTCTAGACAGGCGGGCGGTACTAACCAGCCCCCAGATGGCTGCCCGGGTGCCCCGGCCCAGCGGCCCTGCCCCCCCACTTCCTCTCCCCGCCCGTGCCGTCCTCACCCCCTCAGGCACCCCCACAGTTCAGCCTTCCTCTCTGGCTCCACCTCTGGGGTTGCAAACAGTCTCTTACTGTGCCGAAGATCAGTAAAACAAAACACCTACCCAGTAGAGTCTGGCCACCAAATTCAGTAAATCATGACAAGGGATGCAGAGAAAATGCGTTAAAATACGGATGCGAAGTCCCATCCACATATGCAATGACTACGGGATAAGAGGAGAGGCCAAGACCTGGTATTGCGAGAACCGCCTGGAATGCGGAATCGGAGTTTCACGTGGGAGCAGCACAGAAGTGGGCAGCCTTCCTTTGCTCCCCCAGAATAAGAGGACACTGTGCATGGGGATCCCTGGGGGGCTCAGCGGTTGAGCACCTGCCTTCAGCCCAGGGCCTGATCCTGGGGTCCCGGGATCGAGTCCCGCGTCGGGATCCCTGCATGGAGCCTGCTTCTCCCTCTGCCTGGGTCTCTGCCTCTCTCTCTCTCTGTCTCTCATGAATAAATAAAATCTTTAAAAAAAATATTGAGAGGACACCGTGCAACAAGCAACCCATTCCTCTTGCCATGTCAACACGAGGTGACGTTTACTGGGGGCTTATTATGAGTCCCTGCTCTCGGGGCTTTGCATAGCTCACTACTTCATTCTTTGGTCGGGCTAAAGAAACCAACAGTCCCAATATTTTATATTTACTTACGAGATGAAAAAAATATTGCATGTTTCAGATTCACTCACAGCAGAAAAGCCGGCCGACGCTGACCCTGTTAATTCTACCTCAAATCAACCATCCGCAGGCCGTACGTACGATACACTTTTTCATTAACAACCTTTTTTTTATTTGTTCACGTTTATGATGTGGCCACCTCATGATCCTTTATATCTAAAATACCCCGTGCCACTGCAATTGCTCTGAGCACCAGCGCCTGCCTGCAGTAGGGGAAAAAAATCATCAGAAGTCAGTTTTCAAGAATTTTAAAGAATTTAAAAAACTTTGAAGAGTAAATAAAGCCGTGTTGTTTTGAAACATACTGTTTTTCCAAGTACGCCTAAGGAAGCATTTAGGCTGGCAGGTCAAAATGTCTGCAGTCATGTCTTAAAAATACTTTAGTGTAAAAATCACAGTGAGAAAAAAAATCTGGGTCAAAGTGTTCACCTTAAAAACTGAGGGGTCATTTTCATCATCTCCCTCATGTTTCCTTTGCATGTAACTAATCAAATGTTTCAGGTTACTGCTAGTGATGGAGAAAAAAAAATAGTAAAAAATAGTAAATCTGGTAAGAGGAAGACAAGAAGAAATCTAAATGGGTCTCTAAAAGCATGAATAATGGGACACTCATTCACCCACTGAAAGATCACTCGAAGAGATTAACCTGAATACCAAGAAGTGTAAGTATCCGCTCAAAGTAACAGCAGGTCAGCATTCACGGACTCAGAAGTCGGTGTGGGCTAAAAATCTACAACACAGAAAGCTATTTAGAGATGAAAGCGTGTGATAGGTTATACAGAAAACTAAAAATGCCCGTGGTAAAAAAAAAAAAAAAATGCCTGTGTTTGTTCCCTAAATCCTGGTGATTTCACGAAAAACCATGACTACACCTCAGAGAACACAGGTCACTGGAATGGTCAAATCCATTACAATTTTTTTTTTCCACAGACTTTGAATTGAGGAAGACCCCAGGACATCATCCCAAGGAGATTGTGCTGTGAGCAAACGCTGGCCCTAGGAATCTGGCCTGGAGCCCGGACGGTGAGTAGAAAGCCTGCGAGATAGACCTGCGGGCTCTTCGGAGTATCCTGTTGATATTTTAAACAGTATCTTGGCTTCTGAAATCTAAACGCTAGGTCGCCTTACCACCTGCTGAGTCAGAGTCAGTGGACTCTGTATCTGTAATTATTACTGTCTGAGCTAGTACTCGATTTATCTGGAGTTTCCTCACGTGGTACGACCTCATTCTGGAAGGCTGGGTTGGGTAAAACGAAGTTATGTTAAATCGGTCATAGTTTTTAAAGGTCAAAAAAAAAAATCATCCTCTTGTGGTTAATAATTAAAGAAGTTACAGCTCACCCGATCCATAGGGTACAATTGTTTTTCTAGAAGGATACTGACACCTGAAATGTCATTATTACTCCGACAGCATTGCTATGAATTTAGAATCGGATTTATTAATTCAAACACCCACCCGGCTCATCTATAAGAGTGGAAGTTGTAAGGTATTTAAATAGAGAACTGTGTTGCCTTAGGTTTGAAAATACTTCCATGAAAGGGAGGCCCGGGTGGGTAAGTCGGCTGAGCTTTTGACTCCTGATTTCAGCATGGGTCATGGTCCTGGGGTCACGGGATCCCCCCGAGGTGGGCTGCATGCCCGGTGGAGGGGATTCACCCTTCCTCTGCTCTTCCCCCTGTTCGAGCGCATGTGCGTGTGCGCTCGCTCGCTCTCAAACGAATAAATAAATCTTAAATACATAAAAGAAACTCCCAAAACCTAAGCACGAAGGAACACGTTTCCGCTAACCCGCTCTTCCTTTCAGGAGTATTCTCAGTTAATGACCTTTTACTGAAAGATCAAACAACATCTAGTCCCTTATTGGATAATCCACTGAGCTTAAAACATTCTGGCTCATCTCAACGAGTGAAATCAGAACTAGAGGACTGAGCTTATATCGTTGACCCTTGAACAACATGGGTTTGAACCAAGCAGGTCCACTTATGCATTGATTTTTTTTTTTTAAAGTAGACATACACTATCGAAAATGTACTCTTTTCTTCAGGATTTTCTTGACTTTTTTTTTTCTCTAGGCTACTTCATTGCAAGAATGCCGCATACAACACCCATAACATGCAGAGTATGTGTTAGTCAACTGTCTATGTTATGCGCAACGCTTTCAATCAATAGTAGGCTATTAGTTGTCAAGTTTTTGGGGACTTAAACATTGTACTTGCATTTTCAGCTGTGTGTGGGGGGGTCAGCGCCCCAACCCCTATGTCGCTCAAGGGTCAAATGTAGTGCAACGAACATCTTAGTAATTAAAAGAAACAACACATAGGCAAGTGCTTGACAGGAGCACGAAGAAGAAATAATGGTCATTCTTCACAAAAACCCAACGTCTTTCTCATAAAGGAAGGCTCTAGATAGATATTGATCGGTTCATTCAGAAATATGAACTGGCTTGAAGTAAAATGACTGGAATTTCTAAACTTCTAACACCAAAACCGTCCAACTAAAGGATGAGCCAGCCAGAAGAAAGCCTGTCTGATTTAGAGATGCTTTTATAAACCCTCCGCCTAACTTTTCTAAAGTCCGACCTCTGGTCTCCACCACCATTTTACATTAAATCAAATGCGTTTCCCATAATGTCCAAGAAAAGATAACCAGAGAACACGAAACGCCTGAGACAGAAAACCTCTTTCAACCAGAGTACTTCTAAATAACACCAATATTACCACTTTAATTACCTGATTTCAGGAGATGAAGAGATTTCATTTGTGTCTGCCCTTTTATTTCTTGGAAATGATGGACTAGCTGGAGGCATCTCACCACTTAAGCGGTCTGGGAAAATTCGGTCTTTATTCAAATTGATTTCTGAATAGGGACAGTTGGCAGCACTAAAGTATTAAAAGAAAAAGAAAAAAGAACATTCCCATTAGAACACACTTCTAACTAAAATGACAGGCTATGGGATATAAAATCCCAATTATTTAATTGAGTGTTGTATCTATTTGCACGTATCTATCGCACGCGTGTGATCAAACGCACCCTATGGAGTGTCTTCTCTCTAGGGCATAAGCTAAGGATCTTCCGACAGAAAATGTGTCTCTGCATTAGATGTTCAGGTGCAGTGTGATGAACCCTCTGGGCCTGAGCAACCAGTGCTGAAGGGCCCCCTCTGTGCAGGGGCAGGGCCTGTGTGGATGCGTCGGAATAATCGGCCCGAGAGAGAGAAATGCGCAGGACATCAGAGGAGGCTTGGTGGGGGCGCTGGGCAGAGAGGGAGGCGGGGCAGATGGAGCAGATCTCCTTCCCGAAGTGGTCTTCCAGCCTCGGGGTCCCCACTGGCCAGAACAGCTGGGCCCAGCCCAGGTCGAACGCACCCCCACCTGCACTGAATCCCACGTCTGACACAAAAGAGCCCAGAGGCCAACTTGGATCACGACTCCTCTGGCTCCCTTCCCTCCGGTCGGTGCCCTCTAGACCCCTGGTTGACCTCTGGGTCCTATTCGGGTCCCATTTGGGGATCACCCCTGTTATCCAAGCAAAGGAAATCTAGGTCACTACTCGTTAAAGCAACGTTGAGTCTGTATACACCTCTGCCTCAGCCTCGGCTCTCCAGGCCACGACGACGAGGGACCCCTCATCCCAGGCCTCCAGCACATAAAGAGCACCCCGCCCACCCGCCCACCTTGGCCCTGTGCTTTTAGTACGCTTCCTTCAATCTGGAAACGGCTGGGTCTTACAGAGACTGCACGATCTTTATTGTATCTCTGCACAACACGGAAGTCCGTGGCGTTTTGTCGGTGCGGACATGAACGCATGCGACAGGGACTGACAAGAATAAACACTTTGGGAGCACTCGCTAAATATCGCGCTGGGTGCTTCCCAAGCAGTCACCCCTTAATCCTCAGGTTGCCTTTGGGCGCAGGATCCCTCGCGCCCCTCGCGGATCTTCCGTGGGCTGTTTGGTCATCAGCATCCAGATTGGGTGGACGAGACCCAAGTGGGCCCGGCTGAGGGGAGGCAAAGGCAGCGGAGGAGGGCGGCGTGGGTTGGGGGGCAGGCCCGGGCCCCTGGACATGGTCCCCCGCGCGGCCTGCCCTCCGTCCCCAGGTCCCGGAGCTGCAGACACAGCTGTGAGCGGCCTTCCCGTTGCCGGCCTGCCCCCGCACCCCGCGGTGACCTTATCTAGACCCAGACACATCATCCCGTGACCCCCCAGCAAGGGAGGAATGGAGCCCCCACGCTCCTGGAGCCTCTGCCTCCCGCTGCCAGCCTCCTGCCCGGCCTGCGCCCTCTCCCCATCGGGCCTCCACACAAGCTCACCTATCCACATTGTGTGACGGCAAGACGCAGCCAAAGCTAACTTCTCTGGGGGGGCTGTTGACACTCCGGTAACGCTGCAACCCACATGTCCCCGTGGCCTGTAAACCCTGGCTTTACGATCACTGGGGAGCCGCCCACACGCCTGCCCTGAGGGTTGTCACACGCGACAAAAGCCGTGTCCCGCCCTCAGCCGACCCACAGCCACATGGGGCACCCGCAGCTCGCAGGCCTCGCAACAAGAGCGCCGCAGCTGGAAGTCCTGGGGCCTGAGGGCTGCAGGCACGGCCGTCCGCCTGCTTGTGCCTAAATTCAGGACGGAAACCTCTTAGGGGTCCCCCCCACCGACCTTGGGCGGTGCAGGGAGGGCAGGGCCGCGGGTACAACACGGCAGATGGGCCGGAGGTGCTCCACGCTCTCGGCACTGGAGGAGCCCATGGGGAGGCTGCAGCCGGTGGCCAGCTTGCCTCGGGCCGGCGCCCCCTCCTCCTCTACACCCAGACACCTGGGGGTGTGCTAGCACCGCCAGGGCAGGGAACCAGCCGGCTCCCGACCCAGGCAGCCACCAAGACCAGGGGGCGGCGGGAAGTCACGGACTGCGAGTAACAGCACGTGGACAGATGGCCGGCGGCCCCGGGAGGCCCAACAGCAGCTCCAACGTCTTCTGCGGCTCCGTCCCCACGCAGCACAGCCGGGCACAGCCTGCGACAGTCCGTCCCGCGCCCGCATGGTGAGGACGGCAACAGCGGCGGGTCTGCGGCCTGAGGGTGTTCCACCACGTGGGCAGGGCCCCGGGCCAGCATGCACTTCCCGAACGGTGGGAGCCCAAGGGGGAGCTCCGTGCACCCAGCCCGACCCATCAGGGTGCCGCCTCCCCATCCCACGGCTGCACAGCTGCCCTTGGGGCCGCCTTCCTCATTCTCGGTTCTCTGGGCTCAGATGATCTTAGGCGGCAGCAACCTCATAGCCTGGCAGTGTCCACACCCGGGTGGATGAGGGCAGCTCCCTGCGACTCAGGCTCGGGGCTGCAGACACGGTGTGTGCGGGGGCACGGAGGCCACATGGCTGTCTCCACAGGGCCTTGCCACACTGGGCCGGCCTGTCTCCTGGCAAAGCCCTGGCTCAACAACACAGCCATGGCCGTCGGGAGCCGTTGGGGGCCACCCAGCCCGGGGGGAGCCGCCTGGCCCACCAACATCCACCGCCAGCTCCCAAGGCCTTGCGATTCTGAACAGATCCATTCAAACAACAAGTTGACACCTTCAGTCTGAGTGAGCCCCGAACATTCGCTCGCTGTCAGGACAAAACCCTGGGCAATACGCACGAGCCCACAGCCCAAGTCCCCGAGGCAGTCTCAGCCAGGCTGCAGGGCCTCCCATTGGGTCCAGGAGTCTCAGGAGACACTGCTGTCCGTCTGGGCCTGGCCTCAACACTGACCCTCGGGCATGTCCTCACCGGCTCCAGGCTGGCAGCCCCATGGACCGCAGGGTAGGAGAGCGCCAGCCCACAGCTCCAGGGAGACTTCAAGAGACCTCATAGGTGAGCCCTGAGCATGCCGCCACCCAGGAAGCCTTGGGACCTGCCTCTGCTCCTCAGAAGGGCATGGTGGCCACCGTGCGAAGGGGCAGCCGCGATGGTGAACAGTAGTGCGAAATGCTCTGAATGCGCTTCCTCTTTGGGGGCTCTCTGCTTCCCTCAGGGAAGGGTCTGCTGTTCCATCCCTGCCTCATGGATGTCTCCCTACCCCCGACTGGCCTCCCCAGGGGGAGGGACGGCCCGTCACCCCCACCCCAGGCCCACAGCAAGCGCCCTGCGAGTGTGCTCGCCATGCAGACATGGATGGATGCTGAGCCCTGTCTGCGGGTGTCTGCCCAGATGTTTAGAGCTTTCCGCGGACTTCACGATGACCTTCTAGAGGCTGCTGGGAATACTCTCCATTTTTTTTTCCCTCATGTATTTTCTCCACGATCAAATCTCACATAGAAAACACTGACTTCCAAGGCACTAGCAACGCAGAACCCTACTTCCACAGAAATCTACGTCTCCTTCAGTCTCCCCCTCTCTGTGGCCTTTCAGGGGCCCAAGTGGATGAATCAACAAAGGGAAACCCCAGGACACCACCCTGATCAACGCTCCCTTGCTGGAAAGGGGCCCTGAGCAATCTGGCTCCTGAACATCCCTGGAGATAAGAATAACATCACATTCAACTCACTCACTGATTATTTACATTTCAACATCTGAAAACATCGCAGCCTCAAATTTCATCACTGAGACACATGTTCTATTTCTAACACCTCTTACATCAAATCCAACCATTATAATTTTTCAGAGAAGCTAACAACTGCTAGTCAAAACATAGCCCTTGGCTTACGTGGGCATAAAATTGATTCCTCTTGCTAAAAGAGCAACGTCCCTTGTTATCTAAGCCAAGAATGCGTGTTTTGATTTATGCAGTTTCTCAGTAAATTAATCCAAAGAGAATTCTCTCATTACGTTTTCCTAAACACAGCGTTCCCGGCGAGGACAAAAATAAGCGCCAGCGAAGGGAACCTTTCAAAGGGAGTCCGTGATGCTGCGGCTACTGCAGCGTCTCCAGGAGATGGGAAGCAGGCAGCGCCTGTTGGAGACTAGTGTCCTGTCCTAAGGACGGCGCAGCGAGGGAAGCCCGGGAAAGGCAGGTGCAAGGGCTGAGGAGCGGGGATGCCAGGAGCTGACCCGGCTGCCCGCGGCTCTGCCCGAGGCTCTGCCAGCCAGCAACTGTGCCCTCCGCGCTGGCACACACTGCTGGTTAAAGCCCCCTCCCACCCTCCATCCCCCGGCTTCCTCATCTACGCGGGTCCTTAGGCCATAAGGTCTACCTCTCCCTCCCTCATTCCAAAAAAAAAAAAAAAAAGAGTGATTCTCTACTGGTTCCAATAACCTGCCAGTCCACCATGGCTGTCCATGAAATCTCCCATGACTCCCCACGATAGCCCCCCTTCTTTTAGCCAATACAGGGCCGCATCGCTGAAGACATGCTCCCAAGATAATCACTGACACTCTGTGACGTGGGGACCCTCGGAGGAACGCTGCCCAGTTGGGAAAGGGTGGTCCTGCCGAGAGAGCAGTGCCACCAGACCAGGCAGGACTGTCCCCAAAGACCCTGCTGCACCCGGCGGACCTCTCCGCTCAGGTCTAACGTGCTCCTAGGGACACGGCAGCTGTTGCTGTAGGCGGGTTCCCTTCCCCGGAGGCAGAAACAAACCCTCACCTGCAGCCCAACAACATGGTATCAGTATTCGTGCTTTTTTAAAACTTCTTTATTCTTTTCCTTCATAATCTGAGCAAACTGCCTCAAGCCCGGTGAACGTCTTAGGGATGGTCCAGGAGGAAGGATGCCTGGCAAGGGTGCAGAATTAGCTACTGTTTTGGATCTTGTACCTTAACCAAGTCATGTACAGCTTTGTGTTTCCACTGGTCCCCAAGTTCCGTGAAGGCTGGGTCTGCGACTCTCAGAGCGGAGCCTTGAGAGGCAGAGAGTGGACGGGTCACCAGCACAGATCTGTGAGCTACCCTGGGTGCCATTCCCAGTTCCTCCACACTGGGGGGAACCAGGAAACCTCCCCAGGGCCACAGTGGCTGCATCAAGAATCGGAAGAAAACAGTACTATAATAGGGTAGTTCTGGAGGTCGTCTAAATACGTAAAACAGAGCAATACCATGTACAGAGTAAATGCATGCTCAATAAATGCTGCTTACTGGGAAAAAAACCTCCTCAAAAATATTTATTGAATGAAATAATTTATTAATATATAATAGAATTTAGCAGGCCACTGAGTCATTTCTGGCATTTAGACTTACATAAGGTCTGAAAAATAACCTAGCTGCCTTCACTCAGCAACACTGAGCAACTTTTAAGATACATGAGTAATTTAAACGGAGTTAAAAATACTATAACTTTGGGTTTGCAGTTATACAAACAATGAAAAGGATTTTTCTTTCTTTCTTTTTTTTAAGCAGGCTCCACACCAAGCAGGCAGACACCCAATGTAAATGTCTAAGGGTAAAGCAAAACTCCATCTGACTGCATTTATACATTCGTTTTTTTTATTCATTTAGTTATTCATCAAACATTTATTGGGCACCCTATATCTACCAGATGTCCTTCTATTTCATGTGTATAGAGCGGTAAAATGAACTAAAAAAAAAAGTCCTTGTCCTTATGGAGCTTATAGCCTACTGGAAGGGCTTGAACTCATGACCCTGAGATTGAGAGTTGCATGCTCTACCGACTGAGCAAGCAAGGCACTCCTGAAAAGGATTTTTTAAATGGCTATCTGTAAATAGTATCACCACCCTGTGTTTAGACTATTTACTCTGGAACAGAATGAATCCCATAAAAATCTCAGAAGGAGTGTTGCAAGAGGAAGATAAGCAGTATTACAGGTTGCAGAGAGAGAGAGAGAGAGAGAGAGAGAGAGAGAGAGAGAGAGAGATAGAAAGAAAGAAAAGAAAGAAACAAAGAAAGAAACAAAGAAAGAAAAGGAAAGAAAGAAAGAAAGAAAGAAAAAGAAAGAAAGAAATAAAGAAAGAAGAAAGAAACAAACATTAATTATTCAATTTTACAGTTCCTATAACTCTTAGAACGGGTAGTGCAGTCTTTAGATTTTTCAAAAGACCTAGATTCACAACATGTGCAAACGAGATATACAACGGCTCCTTTTCTTTAGTGGGGAATCCAATTAACACACAGTTAGAACACTTACATTGACAAATGATTATTTTAATACATCCATGAGCAGGTGATACTTTTGGTTCCTTAAAAAGATCTCAGTTAAATTATACAGATTAAAAAAAAAAAAAACATGGTGATTTCTAAGTATTTCAGTATTATTTTTAAATGCCTACAAAGACCCCCAAATTGCCTAAACAATACATCAAATTTCAAATGTACAGATTTGGTTTCTTTTTTAAGTTAGAGGTAAAAGAAAAAAAAAAAAATACTGAAAAACACTGTTTCACATCAATGCATTCCCAAGTTCGACTATTTATATTTGTGCCTCTTGTGCTCTTCGCCGGTAATCGATAATCTCACTTCTCATTATTCAAATTGCCGAGTCCCCCAATCAAATCTCAATCTACAAAACAAAGACCTTCCATAGGGCCTGCCCTCTTCTCATCATTAATGGTCAACCCAAGGTGGCTCTCTCAGGAGCTAAGTACCTGCAGAGCTTGTCAGGCTGTCAAGAAAAGGCAAATGGCTGGAGTACATCTACCATGGAGTGTGAATGCATTTTCTCCCAGGAAGACTTAGCCACGGACATGCTCTTCGTTTCCACAGGATCACCATGGTAACCACATTTTGCATTGATCAAAATATAAAATTAGCTCCCACCTATGTGTATACATGGAAATGCTCATCTTACACATATGTGGGACGGGCACCCGGTCTCTGGCCACGCGAGAAATTCCCACCTGAGCGGCAGCACCACATACCTGTGAGGGCCCAGGTGCCTCACTCTCTTAAAATGGCCAATCCCTTTACATCCTGGGGTTGAGCATCCACCATGTTCTGAAGCTTCCATTAATTCTAAGGGGCCTATAAGAAAGCAAGGGGGGGGGATAAAGAGAGAAAGAAGGGGCACCAAGTTAACAAGAAGGCTGTAAGAAACCAACAATATCTTAAAAGCCTTTATTCTTAAAGGTTTTTCTCTATGCTTTTGTTCACACGATTTATCTTCCTTCCGTAGTGAAATGCTAGACTTTGATCTCACCCTCTTTCAATGTCACAAATTCCAGAAACACCTAAACGTATACTGATGAGGAGATTCTAAATAATTTCCATCATGGAAATAAGATAATTAGTAAAGGAATACTCGTGTACTGTGACACTACCAAACAGAACCCTTCACCCCCTCCACATTTCACAGATGCCCTCATCCCGACCACTTAAGTTCACGTGTAATGCGCCAGGCCTTGTTCTAAGCGTTCCCATACACGGGTAGGCGTGCGTGTATACGGGTGTCAGGTTTTGGTTCTGTCTCATTTTGTTGCCTACAAGAGACAGCACAGCACAGATGTGCACTATTCTGAAACATTTTTCCTTTGGTCTTTTTTTTTTTTTAAGATTTTATTTATTTATTCATGAGAGACACACACAGAGAGAGAGAGAGAGAGAGAGAGAAAGAGAGGTAGAGACACAGGCAGAGGGAGAAGCAGGCTCCATGCAGGGAGCCCGATGTGGGACTCGATCCGGGGTCTCCAGGATGATGCCCTGGGCCGAAGGCAGGCACCAAACCGCTGAGCCACCCAGGGATCCCCATCCTTTGGTCTTTAAGTCTTGTTTCTGTACTTTTGTGCAGCTCGTGGATGGTGCCCAGACGTGAAGCCACTGGATGGGGGACTGCAGGGTGAACTTGTTAATACTCTGCAATAATCTATTGTATCTCCTGCGTATCTTTTGCTACCATGTCTATGCTTTCCTTCAAAGTTAAAACCATAGTATGGGATCCCTGGGTGGCTCAGCGGTTTAACGCCGGCCTTTGGCCCAGGGTGCATTCCTGGAGTCCCGGGATCAAGTCCCGCATCAAGACTCCCGGCATGGAGCCTGCTTCTCCTTCTGCCTGTGTCTCTGCCCCCCCCCTCTCTCTCTGTATGTCTATAATGAATAAATAAATAAAATATTTAAAAAATAAAAAAATAAAACCATAGTATGTCAAGTTCTCAGTGCCTATTTTTTTAAAGTGGAATTTAAAAGAAATTTTTACTGAGGTTATTGTAAATCACACACAGTTTGAAGTGATGATTCAGAGGGAGAGCCTCTGTATACCGTGCCCACTTTCTCCCAATGGTAGCATTTTGTAAAACTGTAGTAGAAAATCACTGCTGATACACTGAATTTTGAGAGTCTGACAACCTGTCTTCCCAAAATTCAGTATCAATTTTAAAAGGTGAGGAGTACTTCTAAATAAAAGTTAAAAAAAAAAAAGTATATAAACTTTGCTTTTTCAAACATCGTATTTTTTCTTTCGGATTTCTGTGACTGCCATGCAGTTAAAAATGTAGGAAGAGGAAAAGGATGACACAGAGAAGAAACGTACAGCGAGAAAGAAGTAGAAAGAAAAGGGTAGGAGAAAAAATGTCAAGCGCCCTACACAAGAACATGAAAACATTTATTTAAGTTATCCTTGTGTCTCTTACTCAAAGGAGGCTGAAGAGGATGCCCGGTTTTTGAACACCAGCCCACGGGGTGAATATCAGGGCAGTCTGCATCTACCCAGTAATCGTAGCAACTATTCCAGCCATCAAAGTGAACCTGGATAATAAAAAGAAAATCAGTACAATTCAGATCACAAGTATTCCCACAATAAAAGTTCTACCCACCATAACCATTTTCATTCTCTTCTAAATTATATAGATTTAATACCAAATAAATCTTTTCAATTGTTTAAATTACTTCATTTACACTATGAGAAAAAAAAAGGCACTTTTGACCTATCTTCAAATGACCTGTCCATCAATAAGTGTCTGGCCAGAGGCATTATCCCAGCAGTACGTCTACAGATATATTACGTACACCTTCCGACACTAGAACAACGGGAGTACGCAGCATCTTCAAATCAGCAACACCAAACCGCTAGTAAATATTACTAAAATAATGAATAAATCAGGGCAGGGAGGGAGGGGAGAGTGGAGAGGCAGAAAGGCCTTTCATGTAAATGTCAATTTTCTCAGAATTATGCTAAAAAGGCTTTTTAAACAAATTCAGTGTCCTATTAGAAATACACTCAGTTTACAAAATCTCTCTCCATCAAATGCATATCCAAGTATGATTTTTTTTTTCTCCTAAATAATCACAGCACCTCTCAAGGAGGTTTTACAGGGTGGTCAATGCCATCGTTTGTGGCCACCACGTGAAAGAGCAACTGGTCCTTCAGGCAGGGTCACTAGGGACCAGCTCTGTATCTTTTAAGTATTACATATATTTTATCTTTACGATAAAAAGATATGCTGAAAGCCTATATATATTTTGTTTTTACATCGTTTCCCAGATAGATTTCCTTCTTAAGTCTGTGGATCCCTCACTAACAAGACAACAGATGCCAACTGGATTTAAAAAAATCCAAGCATTAAAAGCTGAACAATAAAATTTCTAGAACAATGCATGAGTGAACGTATTTGTAATCTTACAACAAGGTAATATTGTAAGCAAGACACCAAACTCAAAAGCCATTAAGGGCAAGACTCCTCAATTGGACTACATGAACATTTAAAACTTGGGAGTGGCAAATATTCTGTAATGAGTGACAAATACCACAAAAAAGATGGAAGGCCCACGAGAAACCCGAAAAACACATTCATTACATATGCAACAGTGTACTCTGCTCCTTCATTTAGACAGATATCATATATCAACATAAAAAGATGAAAAGCCCAAAAGAAAGATGAAAAATAGATATCAACTGCCGATAAATAAGAAACTAAGTACAAATGGTTAGTAAACATATAAAAAGGTAATCGATTTCACTTATAACTAAAAAACTAAAAATTAAAACCACAAGATGCAATTCTTTTTTTTTTTTCCAGCCTGTCAAAAATGTGCCATTTTGGTGACTCCTAGAGCTGGTGAGAATGAGAATAAAAAGCTTTCTCATGAAAAAGAAAAAAAAAAAGCTTTCTCATGGACAGCTGACGGGAATATTAACTGACCAATATTTCTGGAGAGTTATCTGCAAGAACAGTACTTAAAATACATCACCTTTGACTTGATAATCTCAGTAACTCAACTGTCTGCAGTAGAAAACCAGGTGGGTATCCACCGTTAGGAGGCTGGCTAACCGAATCACGGTACATCTAGGGGACCGGACGGTACAGAGCTGTCACAGTACACATATACGGGTTCAAAAGAACGTCCTTCTTCTTGAATCCCACAATATTACATAGTACAATGAATAGCACAATGAATCCACTTTCTCAAGCTCAGAAGTCAGTTAATCCTAGAATCAGAGCCCACAGAATTCCCCACCTGGAAGAAATCACCGGCATCACCTTAAAGAAGACAAGGGACCATGCAGCTAGTCAGGATGAGGAACCGAGCCTGAATTCAAGGATCCAAATAAAATTGTTCCTCATTCACATACTTTGAATATAAAAGTTGCACCTACAGAAAATTACTGAGCTCAAAATAACCCTTCGCTTTCCTGGGATCAAAAACAATGTTCACCTAACAGTGAGGTGACATTCACGATAATTTTCTAAAACGATCAGTTTAGGCTGTCCATGCCAACCAGTAAACGAACAGACATAACTAAGAGTGTTAAAATAAGTTTAAAGTGTCCTAATTCTCAACTAGCAAAGTGCTTACCCTTATTTTACTAGAAACATGAAACTTTCCTGTTTTCTGACCTTGCTATTCCTAAATTCCATTACTTTTACGCTGAAATTAATGTTCATATCATTCATGTTTCATTTGTTGTAGATGAATCACTAAATTTTTTTAAAAAGATTTTATTTATTCATGAGAGACACAGAGAAAGAGGCAGAGACACAGGCAGAGGGAGAAGCAGGCTCCCTGCAGGGAGCCCGACGTGGGACTTGATCCCGGGACCCCGGGGTCACGACCTGAGCCGAAGGCAAATGCTCCTCCACTGAGCCACACAGGCGTCCCGTATCACTCAATTTTTAAAAATCTAGGTATCTTCTTAGAGCAAATGTCCTCAATCCTAACAAATAAATGGATGTCTACTCTGGATACACACCAGAACTTTGTGATGATAAAGAGAAAGAAAGAAAAAAAAAAAAGAAAGGCTGAGCCTACCTAGGAGGTTGCTAATCCACGGGTTTGGTTCTGTGCACACACCTGCTGTTTGCTCAACTGCTAAGTCACTGTGCTGTGCACTCAGAATTGAGACCCGTGGACGTTGACTCGTTCGTTACTACACACCACACGGACTCTGAAAATCTCAATTATCATCATAAATAAAAGGGCTCTTTCTAAAGTTCCCTCCCATATGACTTAAAGGATGTTTATGGCAGACCTAGCAGCTAGCGTGTCTGCGGACACCACAAGCTTCCGGTGTTCGCAGAAAGTGACCCCCTCAGTTGGCAGCGGGAAGTTATCTATCCGGGACGAATATACTTCAGATACTACAGACAAATCTAATACCTCCTATAAACGAGGTGGGCAGACAAACAGGAGGATGTTAGTAGTTCAAGGTTCAATTTCAGAGATAAAATTTAGTTTAGATATTATGAACGGAGGTAACAATAAAATCCTATCTGCTAAGTGCCAAATACACATAAGAATGCATCTGAATTGCAATTTACATGTTTAATGCAATCCCTATCAAAATACCATGGACTTTCTTCAGAGACTTAGAACAAATTATTTTAAGATTTGTGTGGAATCAGAAAAGACCCCGAATAGCCAGGGGAATTTTAAAAAAGAAAACCATAGCTGGGGGCATCACAATGCCAGATTTCAGGTTGTACTACAAAGCTGTGGTCATCAAGACAGGGTGGTACTGGCACAAAAACAGACACATAGATCAATGGAACAGAATAGAGAACCCAGAAGTGGACCCTGAACTTTATGGTCAACTAATATTCGATAAAGGAGGAAAGACGATCCACTGGAAGAAAGACAGTCTCTTCAATAAATGGTGCTGGGAAAATTGGACATCCACATGCAGAAGAATGAAACTAGACCACTCTCTTGCACCATACACAAAGATAAACTCAAGATGGATGAAAGATCTAAATGTGAGACAAGATTCCATCAAAATCCTAGAGGAGAACACAGGCAACACCCTTTTTGAACTTGGCCACAGTAACTTCTTGCAAGATACATCCACGAAAGCAAAAGAAACAAAAGCAAAAATGAACTATTGGGACTTCATCAAGATAAGAAGCTTTTGCACAGCAAAGGATACAGTCAACAAAACTAAAAGACAACCTACAGAATGGGAGAAGATATTTGCAAATAACATATCAGATAAAGGGCTAGTTTCCAAAATCTATAAAGAACTTATTAAACTCAACACCAAAGAAACAAACAATCCAATCATGAAATGGGCAAAAGACATGAACAGAAATCTCACAGAGGAAGACATAGACATGGCCAACATGCACATGAGAAAATGCTCTGCATCACTTGCCATCAGGGAAATACAAATCAAAACCACAATGAGATACCACCTCACACCAGTGAGAATGGGGAAAATTAACAAGGCAGGAAACCACAAATGTTGGAGAGGATGCGGAGAAAAGGGAACCCTCTTACACTGTTGGTGGGAATGTGACCTGGTGCAGCCACTCTGGAAAACTGTGTGGAGGTTCCTCAAAGAATTAAAAATAGACCTGCCCTACGACCCAGCAATTGCACTGTTAGGGATTTACCCCAAAGATTCAGATGCAGTGAAACGCCGGGACACCTGCACCCCGATGTTTCTAGCAGCCATGTCCACAATAGCCAAACTGTGGAAGGAGCCTCGGTGTCCATCGAAAGATGAATGGATAAAGAAGATGTGGTTTATGTATACAATGGAATATTCCTCAGCCATTAGAAACGACAAATACCCACCATTTGCTTCAACGTGGATGGAACTGGAGGGTATTATGCTGAGTGAAGTAAGTCAATCGGAGAAGGACAAACAGTGTATGTTCTCATTCATTTGGGGAATATGAATAATAGTGAAAGGGAATATAAGGGAAGGGAGAAGAAATGTGTGGGAAATATCAGAAAGGGAGACAGAACATAAAGACCTCTAACTCTGGGAAATGAACTGGGGGTGGTGGAGGGGAGGAGGGCGGGGGGTGGGGGTGAATGGGTGACGGGCACTGAGGGGGACACCTGACGGGATGAGCACTGGGTGTTATTCTGTATGTTGGTAAATTGAACACCAATAAAAATTAATTTATTAAAAAAAAAGAATGCATCTGAATTCATGTAAAAATTAACAATGCAAAAATTAATACTAACCCTAATCAAAATCTCACTCTAGAAGCCCAGATAACATAACTTATTAAAGTCTGTATAGTTGTAGTTCATCTTTCATGACTTTCACTACTTCAGTTGCTGGCATATTAAAAGGTCTTAAAAAAATCAGGCACTTTAGTAATGTTAAGTGATAGCTTTCCTCTTGCTGGGGTCTATTTTGAAAAGAAATCAAAAGTCTGACAAACAACAAGAAAAGAAGACACATAAACATATAACATGAAGTATTTAAGACTTTTATAAACCGAAGAGACCTATAAAACATTTATAATACAAATGTTCCACTATAAATATACTTATATATGAAAACAACTCAGCAA